TGAAATTCTTTTCGTGGACCCCTCGTATAAATTAAATACCACTCTCAAAGCACAACTAAGTGCATTATATAAATGTATGACTCATGCCATAAGCATGAAATATGAAAAACGGTACTTTCCCGTTTAACATTTAAATTACTGTCGACTATATCTAACAACCAATGAAGTGTATGTAGACTTTTGTCAATGATTTTTTTAGGTTTTTTTCGAATAACTTTGTTAATTTTTATTGATGAATGGATTTTCTTTTGTTTATTATTATTAAAAAACAGTTCTAAACAAAACTGTGTCATTACTTTTTTCTATTATGTCCTTGGATTTACGAGCTAGCAAAAATGGGGGGTGTATGTAGAGTTTTGTCACTGACTGTATATTTTTTCTTCGTTTACCTATCTACTACCACCAAATATTGCTTTAAGTTTCCAATTGTTTCAACTTTTATTCATATAAAACTATTATAGCAAAAAAATATTGCTATAAAAATTAATAAAATAACATGACATTTAATTGATCATTAAAAAAAATGTTACTTTATAATCACTTCGTCTTCTTCAAATAAAGAACATATAGAAAAAGTTATTTAATTATCTCATATTTAAAATAATCAAGCCCGTATACGCAATTGTGCATGCAAATAAAACAACAACAAAATGACTTACCTTTCATTGCAATATCTAACAGCAGTCATTATCGACGATTCTGTCGCTGCGCTGCTTAAGAATTTGCACTTTAACGAATTGAACGGCAGTCATTACCGATAATGTTGCAGCACCGCTGCTTAAGAATTTGCACATTAAGGAATTGAACACTACTCACTACCGATAGTTCTGCAGCAGCGCTGCTTAAGAATTTGAAAATTAAAGAATCGACTAAAAAAATTTGCATTTATTTATTATGTACACGCTTTAAAGACACACAAAATTTTATTTTAATATATATATAAAACACACACAATTTTTATTTATTAATTAATTTGAGTGCAAATTATATAAATATATTTCGATTTAAAAAAAACTTAAAGAAAATGGAGCAAATCATATTTTTTCAATGAATGACTTGCATGGCGAAGAGAATTTCAAGATGGCGTACAGCATTTTTTTTAACTCACAAAAAACACTTATTTAACTAAATTCTTGAATTAGGCAATATTTTTTTATTTAATATATATTTAATTTGCACTTTCAATTAAATCAATTAGTGATTTAAATAATTTAAGAACAATAACTTAAAACATTTTACAATTTGCATAAAATTAAAATTCCATCAAATTTCGCACGCGTCAATCACAAACGATTTTGCCGAACTTTCTTTTACTGCGCGCATGCAACAACTGTCAATCAGTATCATACAACCGTTTTTCTTTCTTTCTTTTTTTGCCCAAATTAGATCACTGTGTAGGAGTAGTAACTTGGTTACAACTCAAAGCAAACTATTTGAAGGTTTGAAGCAACATAATGAATGCTAATATTTTAAGTATGGCCATAGATTAATACGAGTATTTAATAAATGAATTATGAGAAAAGAAAAAGGCTTTTTCTTGAAAATTGTTGTATGGAATAGAATTGGGATAAGTTGCATGTCTATTGGCGCAAAATTTCTTAATTATAAATACAGCATCTTTTAACACAATGTAGCAATATTGATGTTAAACTTAAAATGGTATGTTATTTACATTTTAGTAGAGAAGATTGTTTAACTTGGTTCAGCTAAGTTAGTTATATAGAGGTTTTTTGAAAAGTAGTGAACTACAATAACAAAAATTCATTTTATATTATTTTAATTAATTAAATTTTTGGCTGACCATACAGCTGTTTTAAGTATTACCAAAATACCCATCATTAGTGGTCTTGAAAATAATTCTTGTATTTAATTATTCGTAAATAATAATTTTTTGAGACTGCAAGTACCAGGAATCGAACTCGTGTCCTGCCAAATTTGACGCTCAGAGTCAGCATTCCTTAACCAACTAACCCAAAACCGTACTTGACTTTTATGTTCGCACATTTTTCTGGAGTTTTGTTGATTGGCTGTGGGTTTAAATGCACTTGCTGGGTTTAACATATATTAGAACGAAATCATAGACCAGCTGTAGAATAATGGAATTAGGTAATCATATTTTTATTTTTAAATAGTTAAATTTTAATATTATTTTGTTTGTTATGAATTTATAATATAGTAAATTATAATATAAATTTTTACTATTTTAACAATTATTTAATGTCGTTTTTGATTAGCAAATTTAGGGTAATTTTTTCAACAGAGATTTACTTTTAATAGAGTTTTCATTTTCAATTGATTAATCTCATACAAAATCTATACCACTCGAGATTAATTTATAAAATTTCAGATATTTTACCAGATTAATAAAATTACCCTGAAACTAATAGTTATCTTATGTTATTTGTCAATTAACATTTAACGTTTTAAACATTTGATATTGCGTTTACTTACAAATTAAATGTTAAAAGTTTAATTAAAATAATATAAAAAAATACGCTAAATATGAATAAAATAATAAAATAACCAGTACTAACTTGTCAATATATGTGTAGCTGTCAAATAATATTGGTATTACACAAATCTATATTTGCCAATCAAAAATGCCTGAAGAAAATAACAGAATACACAGGATCTGTTAAATTTTATTTTTAGTTTTAATGTGTGTAAATAGTTTATGTAAATAACATTTTTTTTATATCGGTAGAACCGTTGCATGACGTGAAACGCATACATAATACATAATACTGTTGTTTAACATAATATTGAACTTGACTTTACGCGCATGTTCAATTGGATACTCTGTGTTTATCAATTATAAGCACGAAATTTATTATAAAGGCCAGCAACAGCAATTAAACACTTTTAAAGTCAAGGCCGTTTGTCATTAAAAAAATTTTTGGAGAAAGCGTGCACTTCAAAAATCGTCTTATCTCAAAAATTTCTTTTTTCAAACTGCATTTTAAGTGGTGTTATAAAATATAAAAAATAATTATAAAACTTTATGTTCTTATCATAGAAAATTTTGTTATTATTTATTTGAAGTTAGCAACCTTTGATGTGTGAGGTTAACATTGCAAATGAAAAGGATTTTTATGAATTTAATCACGTTTAATAAAAAATTTTTAAAACTTATTAATAAAAATGTACTCACTTTATTTAATTTGAAAATTTTAAGTTGTTTTTATAATATGTATTACTTTATTGTTCCAATGACCAAAATTTATTTATATATTCTTGATTGGCCAATATTAAATAATTAAACAAACAACTTTTTAAATTTGTTTCTTTTAAATACATTTTAACTACATCGATATTTCAAGTTTAAACTATAGTTATCTTCAAACTGGAGAATAAAGATGACCACAGACTATAGTCTATTGTTTAACATTAACCAAATTCAATTCAAAATTTATTTATAGGTACTGTATGCTATAGAGCAATGCTGTCCAGACCAGTATCACTGAATAGGTTAGAGGACCGCAGAAATAAATACATACGTTCATAATTTTGACCGAGAAATATTAAAATACGTTAATTTATTTAATTTATCTTTTACAATTTTATCAGTAATGGTATTCCACCATAAAAGTGAACTAATTTAGTTACCAAAATATAAAAAAGAAAAATTTGTCTAATTAAAAACATGACGCGGGCTGCACAAAGATTAGCCGCGGGCCTTGCTATAGAGTACCTAAATATATCAAATATTTTTTTAAAAAACTTAAGACTGATTGCTTTTAACTTCATAAATTAATTTTAATTTATTTCATTTAATTAAAATTTAACTCTATTTTGTGATTCTATATGAACAATTAAATTACCTTATTTATGAAGAAACCGAATTCACATGGTTAAAAAATAAGTTAAAAATATTAATGCCTAAAAGATTTAAAACTTCAGAACTTAATATATAAAAATAAACATTAAAACTTTTTAAAAAAATGTTTGAATTTGTTTTTAACTTAGTAAAACTTAAAATTCAAGACCATTTTCTTGAATTTGTATTAATAATTAAATTACCTTATCTATGAAAAAACCGAAGTGATAATGTAAGTTCTACTGTTTAAAAAATTCAGGTAAAGATATTTTTAGAATTAATACATGCATAAGCCTAAAACGATTTAAGTCTCCAGAACTTTTAAAAATAAATATTAATTATCTTATTAATCAAAAAAAGTACTCAGCTAGTTCGTTTATTATTTTGCTCAGTTCATTAGCGACGTAAATGAACAACATTATATACTCTATATACATTTATAAATTATAAATTATTATTTATTATATACAATGTTTTATATATGTGTTTATATGTATGGGTATATACCAATTTTTTTTTTGTTATTGTTTCAGAAATTATTTTAAGTTGATTTATAATATCTACAATTTGTGATCATATGTTTTTGTGCTGTCTTTTTTTGGTTTTGTAACTAATGACGAATGTGTAACTCTTAATCATGTATGCAGAGTAATATAAAAAGTAAAATTATAAACAAAGCTTTTCGTTTAAGTCATTTTAACTGAATCCACCGACTGCTTATAACCGTTTCTCATCTTTTCGAAAACCGCAAGTCTTATCAGTAAAGAAATAATGGCAGTACTTGTATTCGTAATTACCGAAGGCAAATATAATCGTACTGATATTAACACCCACTTCTTGATAAGTTTTTATTATGAACATCAATATAACATGTTCACAGTACTACTATTACTAAGGGTTTAAATTTTAATGATTGAATTACGAGCTTATTAAAGCGACTACACAATTGTCAGAATTAGTTCAACATCGGTATTCAGACAGTGTAGTACTTGCTTATCGATGAATATTCAAGTGGAGAACTCTACAGAAAAGTTCCTATAAGCTATATAAGCTTAATGAATTTGTAAATTTTTTTTGGAATGAAAAAAATTGAGAGTGATTTTTATAGTTAATAAAACATTACAATTATCAGTACAGTAGTGTTTGTATTTGAAACAATAAAAGTAACTCAAGTGAGTTAAATAAAAATAAAAATAAAATTACATTTTTATAAAGTATATATATAGAAAGTAATAAAAAAAATGCTGGCGACACGTTGTTGTATATTAGTGGCATTAGTTTTATTTGTCCCATCAATTCAAGGAGTGGATTTAACAGGTAAGCTAATGTATTTTGCTTATAAATTAATAATATTTATTAAATGTTGTATATATATTTTATAATTATTATTTTATAATTATGGAACTTGATATAAGTTATATAGTAATAAGGATAGTAATAGTAATAAGGACTATGACTATTTTCTTCTATGAAGTATAATTTGAAATAAATTGAATATCAAAATTATCCTTGATATATATAATTAATAAATATTATTAGAGAGATTTGAATAGCAAAGAAAAGACAAAGACAAAAATTTTAGTTAATTTATTGAAATTTGGCTGACCATAAAACTCTGTTCTGCTAATTACTCATTATCAGTGGTCTTAGGAAATATACGAATTTTATTTTAATTAGTTCAATTTAATTTGAATATTTCTTAAGACCACTGGTGATGAATATTTATGGTAGCAATATTCGAAACATCGTTTTATGGTCAGCCAAATTTAAATAAATTAACTAAAATTTTTGTCTTTTTCTGTTTCTTGCTATTCGAATCCGTCTAACTTTTAAATAGTTTCTTTTCGTTATAAAGACGCGTCACTTTCGACAAGAAAAAATTAACATTAATAATTATTATGTTGTATATATATATTTATATTATTATAAACCCCAATAAAAATAATTAGTGCTATAACATAAAATAGTCCCACTCCATTTACAATGCAATAAAGTATTATTTAAAATAAATAATATCTTAAGCATATCCTTAAACTATTCATTTAATACTCTTTCGAGTTTTTGAAAATAATGAGATAAATGATAAGACCATTCTATAAATATTGGAAATTGTTGTTAATCTATTTGTAATTAAATATAAAAGTAATAAAATGCAAAATACAAAAAAAAATTATTTTTAATAAATATATAAAGAATGTAAATATATTATATGTAAGAAATTGCAAAATAAAAAAAATTATTTGTAATAAACATATAATGAATGTAAATATATTATAAATAAATAAGTATTTATTTTAAGTCAAGTATAATTTTTTCATTGTAAGATTGTAAGATATTATTATAATTTTAATTTATGATTCCTTTAAATAGCATAATTTATTTTTATTTATTTTTATCTTTTTGTACAAATAACTCGACCACATATATACTTGATATAAATTTATTTCAGAATAAGATAATTATTATTTATGAAACATTTAATGCTTCAATGAAAGCAATGTTTGCCTTATAATATTAATATAATAATGAATTTCTTCTAATTTTTTACTTTAAAGTGTTTTAAAAAGTATATACATTTTTTAAATCGAATTTATTTATCTAAAGAAATTTAGATTTTTCTTCAAACTGTAGATTGTATGACTATACATTTTTAATGTTGTTCTCTCCTTCTCTAGTTCCACCTATTTAACATAGCCTGCCCATATTATGATATGAATTTTTATTAACTTATCAAAGTTTTTAGCATTATTTTTAGATTATTTTATATATAACTAAATCAAAAATATTTCTACATAATTTAAAACGTTGTCAATTTTATATGAATAAGGACTACAAATAAAAATAAATACCAAAACTATATAACTAGGTATTTATTTTAAAAGTTCATATTAATATATACGTTTCGAATTTTTTGACTTCTTTATCAGGCCGGGTGAAGAACTGATTTAACAATCATAAAATAAGGGTTATTTATTATAATAAATATATTTTAGAATATAAATTATTTCACAAGTTGAACATAAGTATCCTCTATAATACGAGGCAAAACTTAAAAAAATTAGGTTATATTAAAATTTATCCTCCAAACCCTTTGACTTAATATCTTTACAAATTATTGATAATTTATTACAGTTTTTAATTGCATTCAATTAAATTAAATTAAAACATTTTCATTTTAATTGTTTCATAATGAAAAACAAATAATATAACAATAACATCACTTATATTAATATTTATTTATTCGTGAAGAATTTTAAAAACCACCAGGTACGAATGGAATAAAATTTTATTTCTTATATAAATTATTAATAATATCACATGTCTATTTCAGCTTTAAAATGTAAAGTACATACAAAAAAAATTACACTTTTACTTCAAAATATTTATAATATATAATATAATTGTTTAAACATACGGGTATAAAAAATCGTTTAACCTATAGCACCTGTTCGATACTGTTTTTTATTTTATATAATCTTAAACTTCCTAAATTAATTCTAATAAATGTTAATAAAAATGAATAAAAAAAATTTTTATTAAAAATTTATAATTTAATTCGTATGTTGTATTATTATTATTAACTTTTAGTAGAAGCGATAAAGGTGTATCGGAGTACTGATTTTTAAAAATTAAAAAAAAAGATTAAATTGTAGTTATAAAAATAAAAATAATTATTATCGAATTATAAAATTAAAAAATTAATTTTAATAAACTGTTTAATAATCGCTAATAATAATTTTTGTAACACAATATAATGTATATAATTCTTACTGTTAAATAAATAAGTTTATTTTTTATACAAGTTTATTTTTTAAATTAAAAAGATATTAATATAACCAACCGATATAACATAATAATATATATTTAAATTTTTTTTCCTCTTTATACACTTCACTTGGGAGCATAAGGTTTCAATCCAATCACGATATCGTATTCTATTTTTTAATTACGACCAGTTCAGTCCTGTAGACTCAAGCTCTGCTAACACCAAGCTTCTCCATGTGTTACGTGGATTATCATGTTTTCGTTTACCTGCTGGATTCCATTCTAATGCGGCTCTTGATATATCAATCGTGTTTTTACGTAGCGTGTGTCCATCTCCAGCGTCTACTCATTATACAGTATTCAATTTCTGTTTGACTATAAAGTTGCCAAAGTGCTTCTTCACTAATTGTATTACGCTAGTATACATTGTAGATGATCCGTAGGCATTTGTTATAAAAAATTTGAAGCTTTTTTATTTCATTGGTGTTAATTCGTCAAGTTTCGTAACCATAAAGCATGACAGATTTGACACATGTTAAATAGATTTTTAGTTTTGTTGATCTCGAGATTTGATTTAATGATCATACTTTTTATAATCCACCGAAAGCTTTTCTCGCTTTGCTGACTTTGACATCCATATCCTCCGCAGATCTGTCATTGACATTCATTGATATTCATGGTGCAGCCCAGGTAATTAAAAGAACTAACATCCGCGATCCCGATCTAAAGTAAACGGGCAAGAACTTCGTGTATTTTATTAAATATTAAATATAATATTAAAGTACGTTTCATAAAAATTATAACATAATTACTGTTTTTTTTATCAAAATTACAGTTTTAATTCAAAATCCATTTGAATACAGATAAGTAGCTGAATTTAACTGATTGGAACTGGTTATCACAAAAAAATACGGGTTTTTGGTAATAGCAGTTATAAAGATTTTAAAAAGAACCCCACTGTTTAAGTATTTCACAAGGATTGTAAACGTCCTAAATGGTTAATAGTATTAGTATTATAGTATATATACCATCAATAGTATATTGTTTTGATCTTGGTTCAGTTATGGCTTCATTGTATGATTTTATGTTCGTATTAATTTGCTCATTTTTGCTTTTGTTTTCATACGAAACTAATATTAAATATTAGGCGATTAAACGTAATTTCTTTGGTAATATCTTCTAATTTGTTATAGACAAGCATACAAGGTAATATTCGCGGTCTCTCAAATCCGACCCTTGTGTTTGATTTCATTAACGACATAATCATGCGATATTATTTGATTGCCTGATTGCTATCAAATAGGACATAGACTTGTTTGTCTGGAAAAGTCCTGTTTGGCTTTCGTAGCTCTCAACTCGACAATTGATGCTCTTTCAGTTTTTTTTTTGTGGGCTATTGAAGCAACCACATCTATCTAATTTGTTTTATTAAAATGATTATTAAGTTAAATAAATTAAGCATACATTCCCATATATTTATTTTTTTAAGTATACTGGACTTATTGCTATGACTAGTCTATACCAAACTCATGGAGTTGGCATGGTCCTTTATTGAGTAGACAATATATTATCAGCGCGTCATTCATTATGTTGAAACCTCTTTTCAGAATTACTTTAACATAAATAAAATACTTTAAAAGAATAAAATTGTTAATAAAGCTGGAGTAATTTTAGTAAAAAATTGTCGGAATAGTAATAAAAAAAATTTTTTAAGAAAATATTATTTTTTTTATTATTTATAACAAGGCTGTCCAAATCAGATGCGATCGTGGGCCAATAGAAATTATTGTAGAGATTCTCTACAATAATTGTTGCAGCAACAAATACATACGTTCATAGTTGTTATTATAAATACATTATAACATTATAAATACGGTTATAATGTTAAATTTAGTTTTTATTAATTTATCAATTTAAATTTATTTATTTGGTAAAATATAAAAATAAAATAATGTAGTTTTACCTGTATACCAAAAGAAAATTTGCGTAATTGTAGTAGATTAAAAAAATGGCGCGGGCCGTAGAGACGCTAACCGCGGACCGCATGTGGCTCGCGGGCCATACTTTGGACAGCCCTGGTTTATAAGACTATTAAGTATTCATTTATATTAAAATTCACAAACGTATGTTTATACAAATATATCAAATGAATGACATTCATTTTTTGTATTACGAGTATAAACCTTTAACATATTTACAACTTTCGATTTGTAAAAAAAAATGTGAACTATCAATTTATAACGTAGTAAATATATTGTTTACTATATAACTATTCTATTATTATAACTACAAAATCCATCTTCATGTATATTGAGGTATACAGTAATTAATCAAATTATTATTATTTACTTATAGTTAATAAAAATAGTAATAAAACTAACGTAATTCATGCTTGTTTGTATCATTTATTGCTCTATAATTAAATTATTTACGATTTAAATGTTTTCACAGGTTTTGAACTAAAAATGAACTGATCTATCAATCAATCTAGTTCATGTTAATTTGCTTGTCGGCTATTCAGTATGTAATTTACGATAATTTTGATGTCTTTT